AAATCTGACCTTGTGGAGTACAGAATTTGGCAGAAGGAAGGTGCTGCTGGAGGTATTATTTTCCAGGTTTTCAATCATTTATTCATGAATGTGATGTTATACACTGAGTGCTATTCAGCTAAATCATTTGCCTCAAGAGTCAGGTTATGATCTTCGCTGGCCACTGCAGAATAGAGATCTATTAGGATATAGGATTAGGATATAGGATCTGGTGGATCCCTTTCACCAGATGTAGCTGTGCCAGAGGGCCCAGCCTGCCCTGCCTAGCTCTCATAAACTAGTGAGGAAAAGGCTAAGAGTCATAGACTATTCACTTAGTGCCATCAACCTAGTAATGTAAACATACACACTAAGAAGTCAGGTATTTGATGTTCTAATAAAGAATATCTTGTGTGAGAAACTAATTTGGATGGTCAAAAGTTTCAAATCTAATGAGTAGTGTTCACAAAACTGCTGTCAAAAACTCTTAGGGAAAAATGTAAACTGATATCCCAAATGGATATAGGCCATGGCACTATATTATAATCCATAGCCATCTCTCCATCTGCTGAAGCAATAAAATCTTCAGAAGATATTTCAGAGACCATCTTTTAACTTCACATTCTGGTATAGAACTTTTCTCTTTGTTTGTGCATTTTGATTCTGTTCCACCATTTTTTTCTTTTGCCTTCCTATAAATAAGCTGCAAGAGTGGGTTACTTTAGAACTGCACATTACGCTACCTCTTAGTGGAACTTTTGTGAGGAGAAAGCTGCTGGTAGAAACCAGAATTTCAGCTTTGTGGGAGTTCTGATCTTTCAAAATCTGTTTTCATTCCAGATTGGATCACAATTGGACCAAAAGAACACACACATGCTTGGAATATCCTACAAAGTGGAATTTCAATAAAACACTGAGTTTTCTAACCACAACATTTCATTTTTAGAAAATCAAGATGGTTCACTTAGGTTTCAACATTATATTTAAAAATACAATATGCAGCAAAATGGCCAGAAATGAAAAGTTTTCCTGAAATGAAAGACTTAGCATATGTTCCTAATTCTTTCTCCCTGAAGGGTATTTCAGTGAAGCCATTATGCTTTGGCAGAGGACCTACATTGAGCGGGATGGCAACATTTCACTGCAAAATCTACATCCAGCTGTTTGTAGCTTTCTTCTACTGTTTATTTAGTTAATGTGAATCCATTTTGTGTACATCCTGACAATTATGGATAGCATGTTTGCCTGGCATCTTAATTAGAACATTATTAACCTAGGCATTCTGGTTACTGGTAGCCTCTATTTTGTAACCACTTCACTTGCCTTTTTTGTTCATAAATACTGTGATTTTCAAACAGTCTGTTTTTAATAAGTACTGACTCCTTGCAGTTTTTGTTTAATTGCATCTGCCTCATATTAAGATAATTATGACTGAGGTGCAAGAGAAAATGAATATAGGTTTGGTGTGGATCATGCCTTAAATGTGCAAAGTACAATTTTATAACATGAATCAGTTAGTTTAGAGAGAGTTATGAAATAAAGTCTCCAAAAAGTATTTTTTGGCCCTAAGCAAAATCAGTTCTGCTCAGGAAAATAAAAATTAAAAGCAAATACTTATATATAACACACAGGCACTCAGTAAATATAGATAAGCAATTTCACTGAGACACGTTAAATAAAGATTTGGTCCTAAGACATAATTGTCACATTCACTGTGCTTTTATATAATATCTTATCTTATTGCTTTACTGAGACCTTCATGTATTTATTCTTCTATGGGTCTCATGCCAAAATTTCCAGTAGCTTTCCATTTTAATCACCAAAGTGGCTTCACACCAATGCAGTGGGACAAATTTCTCCAGAGAAGATACTTCGCTGGAAACTGTAGGGTTTACAGGTTAAAATATACTCTGTAAATGTCGGGAAACTAGTTATTGGTAAATTTTTTGTCACAACAATTTGTTGTTTCCTTCGGCAGGAAACTATTGATAACCTATGAATCACTTGTCACAGTTACTTAAGGTCTTTGTGTGCAGCTGCCCTGCTTTAGAAAAGGCAGACTAGTAGCCTCATGTGTAGATGCTTTCAAAAGAGTGAATTTCCCTTGGATTTAATAAAAATCATATGATGCTTTCAGAGCTGATCAGCTGTGTTCCTTTCATGTAGGAAAAGGGTGAAGCTGTGGCTTACACTGTTGCAACTGTTATGGGGATCAGAAACAAAATAGCTGAGGTACCAAGTATGTTTGAGATTTGTCACTTGTGGTAATGTTGAAAAAATACTTTTATGATGATGTGCATAAGTAGCTGATAATTAAATCTCAAAATTTAAACACATGGTTAAGGAAATAAAGCACACATAAATGATTTGATTCAGTCTATAACTGAAAAATGGCATTTTAATGGTTCCTCACATGTACTTGTCGTATCATCTCTTTGTGGATGTGGAACTGTGTTTGTTATTCTCATCCTGAAAATCCTTTTCCAAATAGAGCAAATTTCTATTATATAGGAAAGGTGTTGCTTATGTGTTTTGAAACCGGAAAGCTGTACTAAGAGTTTCAATCTTAATTTTACTCTTTTTTTTTTTTTAATTTGTGCCCAATGACACAAACTTCTACAAAATATGAATTGAATTGCACAAATGGGATCACAGGTGAGATTCTCCAAAAGCTTTAAATGATTTTAACCATCCTGATTTTGCATGGGTGCCCTGGAAAGTTTTGCTGACCTCAGTGCTTGATATTTCCTTAATACTGGCTTGCTGCCAGGAGAAATAGAGAAGAAATTTAAAAGGAAAGAATAACACCTCTAAAAATGCCTGCATACATGCTCCACAGGCTCCCACAGGAGTCTTAAATCCTGCGTTCAGGACCAGCAGTACAACACAGTAATACAGTGAGAAAGATGGTGATCAAGACAAACTGTGCAGAAAACTCCAAGGCTGGAAAACTGTCTAGGAATGAGTAGAAAATCATAGAAGTATCTCAGGTAAATGTCACTTGTGGCACAGAGAAAGATAGTAAGCTTTCCTGACATTTTCTCTTTTAGGATCCTTTTTAGAGTTTCTTCTCATCAGAACATCTCCTGCCTAGCATTTGGGACTCTTATTTTTCCAAGAAGACCATTTTTGTTCAGGCTGATTTTTCTTACAATTTTCAACTTTTAAGTTGCTTTTTCTAGGTGTTTATATATACTTGAATGACCCGACATGTTGTGTTCCTTTACAGCTCTGAATTTTAGTGAGATTGCACAATGTCTTTCCTGCATAGCAATGGAATTTTAAAGGCAATTTGCTGTCTTTACTAATGAAATGTCAATAACCCAACCAATCTGCTCCTCTGTTTTTTGTTAATCATGGGAAGTATTCACAGCCTGGTTTGGTCTTCTGCTTTGGGGGTCCTTGTGTTGCAGACGGCAACTGGGGGCAAGGAGCTTGTATGTCCCCTGTGAACAGTGTTCCTTTCGTACGGTGTTTTGGGGAGGGTTCGTGTGTTTTTGGGAGGGATGAGCATCACAGAGCAGACATAATACATCCTGCAGCCCCTTGGAGGCCTGGAGGCTGACGGGAGTGTGGGAAGATCCAAAGTTTAGAAGCAGGAACGAGGAAGTCAAAGGATAAAGTGCTGGAACCAGTGGAAGGAGCTGTGTGAGGTGGGTCAGAGCAAGGAGCAACCAACTAGGGTGGGAGCTGAGGTGTGAAAGGAGAAAATAGAGGATAGGAGCTTCAGGAAAGCACTTGAAACCACCAAGCTGCACCTAGACAACCACCCCCTCCTCTTCCCCTCTCTGTTTGCCCTCTCCCCACCCCAAAATGAGAAAGAAAATAAGAAAACAGCCCAATCACGCTATTTCATTACTGCAATTTCTTTAATGCCTTCTCACTTGTAACATAACTTTTAACTCAAGAGTGTGTGCAAGATTGTCGGAAATGTGCCGGTTTCAAGTCCTTCTGAAGGTACACAGTGTGCCTGGGAATATGGCTCCATGTAACAGAATGTTATTTCAGTTATTTATACCCATAGAAACTATAGAAATCCGAGCACTATAGTTACAAGATGTTAGCTAGAAACTGAAGCTATGGCAAATGGGAATATGCTGGAATCACGGTGACTTTATTCACTACCAGCCTTGATTCATTCTCAGATGCCATCTGTCTTGTGCACCAAGGCACTGGAGAGGTACCGGGGGAAAGCGGCCGTCACCGCGTAGCGGGGCTGCGTCACGAGGCATCGCGTGCGTAATGGCCACGCTCGCAGTCTTCATTTTGACGTTTCCCATCTCTCCAGCTGCTTTGCTTAGCCAAAGTAATGTGGTTTATACGCCTCAGCAATTGGTATAAGCTCGCTGGGTCTCGATAAATATATATCTGTATCAACATATATATGTATATATGTGCATGCAAATAGAATCTCTGCATATTTGAGATATACATATCTCTGCATGTAGAAAGTTGGGCAGATGTTGATGGCTGTTGGACAGCTACTAGTTTTGTTTCCTGCTTCCAAAAACTTTATTTTCCATTTAGCAATATCACCTTTCTCTCATAAAACTTGAAACAGGGGCAGAGCTTCCAGGCTGCTAAGCCACTGACGGCATCCATCCTGGATGCGGAAAACCCAAACCGACCCGGGGAAGGAAAGGGCATGCTGTCTCTCCTCCCACTTCTCTCATGAATTATGAGGGAGGGAGGGAGGGAACGCACGTTCCAACCCCTGGGACCACCGGAGCCCATGGAAAATCCCTGACAACCCCCGGCCTTCTTGGGGGCGGGAAGGGCGGGGCCAGCGCACGAGCGGCGCCCGTTAAACGGCCGCCGAGCGGCAGCGCCTAAACGGCGGCCGAGGGGCGTCCGTTAAACGGCCGCCGTGCGAGGGCGGGGCGGAGGGGGCGGAGCCCCG